TTAGATCACATATAAAATTGAAGTCATCATATTACAAGGTTTGACTTATGATTTGCATTGCTGTAGAAACTTTATTAGAATGAAATGAATTCAAGATCAATGAAGTACTATGGATAATAAGCAGCTGTTATTCCTATTGGCTTTGCAGATCCTATGTCAGAGAGCCGGTTGCCACCTTTAGGTTTGGACATTTATGTTCCACGAGATGAGCGTTTCACTCCTGTGAAGCTTTCAGATTTCCTTGCATATGCTGTTAAATCTTTGGGTCAGGTCCTCGTTCCTGAGATTGTTGCTTTATTTGACAAAACTATCAACGAGTTTGATAGCTTTGAAGACGTACTCAAGCTTTATGAAGGTGGGATTAAGCTGCCTGACCATCATTTAAAAAAACTCAGGCAATGCATCCCATGGGAGATGCTCAAAGAACTAGTCCGCTCCGATGGTGAACCATTTCTCAAATTTCCGATGCCTGATGTAATTAAAGGTACCAAAGGGCTCTCAAGCTTAATAGATACTTCCTGAGATGTTAGATCTTGCATCATAAATTGATAACTAATTATAAGCATCTTTTTAAAATTACTGCAGTTGATAGGTCTGCCTGGAGGACAGATGAAGAGTTTGGACGGGAAATGCTAGCTGGAGTCAACCCTGTTATCATTCGACGTCTTCAGGTAACAAACAAGATTTTCTGTACTAGTTGGGTTTAATGATTTTTGCTCTCATGCATGTTTCTAACCCATTAAATGCTTATCAGGAGTTTCCCCCAGCTAGCAAGTTGGATCCTGAAGTATATGGTAATCAGACCAGTTCAATCAAAAGGGAGCACATAGAGAAAAACATGGATGGACTAACTGTAGATGAAGTAAATTCCTGACCTATTTTCCTCTTGTCCTTAAATATACTGAAGAAGCCTTGGGAAAATATGACAAAGGCTTTCTTTATTTCCTAAAACAACTTGACTTTTGTCTAAGAATGATTATCTAAACTTGTGGGTGCAGGCTATTGAGTGTAATAGGCTGTTCATTTTAGACCATCATGATGCATTGTTGCCTTACCTAAGACGGATTAATACAACAAAAACGAAGACTTATGCCAGTCGGACTCTCCTTTTTCTTCAAGATAATGGAACATTGAGGCCACTTGCAATTGAGTTGAGCTTACCTCATCCACAAGGAGATAAACATGGTGCCACCAGCCTTGTATTTACACCAGCCAACGAGGGTGTTGAAGGCACTGTCTGGCAGCTGGCCAAAGCTTATGCCGCTGTAAATGATTCTGGCTATCATCAGCTTATCAGTCATTGGTAAACTTCTTAGAAAAGTAGATGCAATGATGTAAATATTTCGTGTATTCCAATTAAGTTTAGTTCATTAACATCAACTCAACTTGTAGGTTAAATACTCATGCAACAATAGAGCCATTTGTGATTGCTACAAATAGACATTTGAGCGTACTTCATCCAATATTCAAGCTTTTACAACCTCATTTCCGTGATACCATGTACATAAATGCTTTGGCTCGGCAGATACTCATCAATGCAGGTGGAATACTTGAGCTGACAGTTTTTCCAGGGAAATATGCCATGGAAATGTCATCTATTGTCTATAAAAACTGGGTGTTCACCGAGCAAGGACTTCCTGCTGATCTACTTAAGAGGTCTGTGCAAAGCTTCGATTTATAAACTCCATCGCAGTATCAATCTTATCCAAAATCTAACACCCCACTTTCTTTATCGCAGAGGAGTAGCAGTGCTAGACTCAAGCCAGCCCTATGGCCTTAAACTTCTAATTGAGGATTATCCTTTTGCTGTAGATGGGCTTGAGGTTTGGGCAGCAATCAAAGCCTGGGTTGACGACTACTGTTCATTCTATTACTCAACAGATGACATGATCCGTGATGACACTGAACTCCAGTCATGGTGGACGGAAGTTCGCAATGAAGGTCATGGTGACTTGAAAGATGAACCATGGTGGCCTCAAATGCAGACACGAGCTGAACTCGTTGAAGCATGCACAATTATCATATGGGTGGCCTCTGCTCTTCATGCAGCTGTTAACTTCGGGCAGTATCCTTATGCTGGTTACCTCCCAAATCGCCCAACAGTAAGCCGTCGCTTCATGCCTGAGCCAGGCACCCCTGAGTATGCTGAGCTTGAAACTAATCCAGACGTTGCCTACCTAAAGACAATCACAGCCCAGTTCCAAACTCTGCTAGGTGTTTCATTAATAGAAATATTGTCACGACATGCTTCAGACGAGATATATCTGGGACAGAGAGAAAATCCAGAGTGGACTTCAGATGTTGAACCACGACAGTCATTTCAAAGATTCCATGACAGATTAGTAGACGTTGAGAACAGAATAGTGGAAAGGAACAATGACAGCAGATGGAAGAATCGCAACGGACCAGTTAAGGTGCCATATATGTTGCTATACCCCAATGCCTCAGGTGACAACAGTGAAAGTGGACTTACTGGTAAAGGAATTCCCAATAGTGTCTCAATTTGACGTGTTCTACAGCACGAATATAATAGCCTTATTGGCAACATATAGTGTGTATATCCGTTCTTTTATGTCAATATTTGTTTAGCCAAATTCCATCATTGTTATGTGTGTTTCTGCTTGGATTAAAGGAGGTGGAGTTCAATGGCTTCATGATTGAGCCCAAGAAGGGAAAATGCAGTACTGCATCCTTGCATCTGTCTAAACACATCACATCAGTCTTAGCTCTTTCCTATTTTTTCTGTAACTATAAAAATGATTTGATGGTTTCTGCATAATGATCCTATATATGGAATGCAGCTACAAGCACATAAGCTAAATCTATTGGTATTGGTTGATAATATTGCAATTAACGAGTTAAAATGGATTGAAAATAGTTGTTCTTCAATGAACAGATCCATTAAGATCAATGAAGACTCGAAGAAGAACTCACAGATTCTGTAAAGCTAATGAGACTCTTGATACCCCTGTTGCTTTTTAAAAGATGGTATGGCAAAGAGATTGAAAGTATTGATTGAAATTGTCTCTCATTAATTTTATCAAGCATAGGAGAGTTTTATCTATGTTTGTGATCATGTGATAGTAACGTGAAGGAGAATCTTTGAGCAACAGTAAAATTGTCTACGTACATACTTATAGCTTATAGGTCATGTGTTCGAACTATAAAATTAACCACTGCCTACATAACATCCCCAATCCCCATACAGTGCAGCCCACCTAGACAATAATTAATACCCCTTGGGATGCGGCCCTTTCTTCGAGATGTTTTACACATCAAGCTTGCCTTTTTTATTTGTGGTATTAACATATAGTACTAATTTGAGTTCAAATGAATTCGATACCAGTACAACCGTGCATTTATGTCTCAACAATTTCATATAACATATATATATAGATATTATATCAACAAGAGAAGTCTAAAAAGTATTATAATAATTGAAAAACAGCTCAAAGTGCATATAATATTTGTCAAAGAGAATATTATGAATATAAAAGTGTAAGGACGCAGTCCGAGTGTCCGACAATGACAGTCACCTCACATTAACTATATAGTATATATCCACCTGAAATAAGAATCATTGTGCCTTGCAATAAAGGTTTTTTCGATCGTAAATTAGTGTGAAATTTGTGCTATAGAAACGGATTTTCTCTTCTCATTTTTCGATCGGAACAACTCAATGAGAAAATACAGGATGAAAAATAGATTCTTGCTAATTTTTTCCGGAGGAAATCATTTTATGGTATTTTAATATGACATAAGTATTTTTATTTTCCATGAGAAAATTGTTTTCTGATATTTAATTACAAGATAATGTTTTCTAGCAAGAGGAGAAAAATCATTCGAGATCTTCATTAATTTTAACACACTTGCCACAACTTCTCTGTCCCAATTAATTAATATTTACAAATGCTAATATTTAATGTGTATTACTTGTGGAATATTTAATTAAATCTGATCAAACGGCTTGTTAACCGGATCTTGATTGTTTGCTAATGATGGGAATAGTTTAAAAACATTATATTCTGTTGACAAGTCTTCATTGGAAAAGAAGAGCACTTGTTATGTACTATAATTTTATAATGTATCATATTACATTTATTATATTGTATTATTTTAATAAATACAACGCTTGGATAGATTGTATCATTTTTCATTGTTGTGTAATGTTACATATTAGAAATAAACCTAATTAAAGAAAAGTAGAATGTGAGGTAGAGTTGCTATAACAGTTGGGGTAGACGATAAAATATAATACATAAATTTGCTCTTTAACTTGACCTCATTTCACATTTATGTCCTCCAACTTTGACTATGCACAAGTAGACATTTAAACTTGTATAAAGTTCAACAAGTAGATACATGAGTCCTATGTGACATAATATATGTAGGAGGATGTCATGTCGGACGCGTGTGTTTAGTTGTTCAACTTTATACAAGTTTAAATGTCTACTTGTATACACCCATAATTGGAGGATATAAATGTGAGCTGAGACCAAGTTAAAGAGTATATTTATGTATTATGCCTTATATAATAAGAGGCAAAGGCAAAATGAGTAATAACGATATGATCACACCAAATTGATTGTTACATAATAGAAAGTTAGGTAACAATCAAAACAAACATTGTATCGTAATACCATTGGTAACAATCATCCAAACAAGGTTTGACAAGTCAATGTGATAATATTTTATGTTGTATGATGGTATTATTTATTTTTTAATGCCCAATTGAGATATCCAGTCAACTTCTCCCAGCTAAGACTATTGACAATTTCTTAAGACAATCGTGGTTGCCTCAATTGATCCAAGTTGGGAAGTAATCTAATAATATATACAAATACTCTATCTATGTTGCTCGGACTCTTAAAAAAAATATACTATTTTTTACGTCAATATTTTTAAAAAGTTCGAACAACATAGATTATAAAAGGACACAAGTCTAGTACTACTGTTGTTTGCCTCAACAGAAGTTCATATCCTTTCTTCATTTCAACTCCTTTTTAGCACTTTGTCCATTTTGCTCAATGGGTTGTGCAGAGATACTGGAGAAATTGCTGGAAACAGTTTGCGGTAAACAGCGCGATGTTCCAGTAGAAAGCGATACCATTAAGATCAAGGGAACAGTTGTATTGATGAAGAAGAATGTTTTGAACTTTAAGGATGCTGGTTCTGCCTTCCTTGATCGAATGCACGAGCTCTTTGGTAAACGCGTTACCATACAGCTCGTTAGTGCTGAACATGCTGATCCTGGTAATTACATTTTCTTCTGATTTTATTATGAAGAGATGCAAGAAAACTTGTTAGTTGTTTTATATAGTGGCTAGAATGCAGAGTGAGAGAACTGTGTGTAAATCCTGAATTCTGTATGCCTGGTTAGTCCTTATGCCAAATAGAGCTGAAGTTTTTAGTATAAGATGATAACTATGACGTCTGGACCAACTTGTTTGCACCTCGACTAATTCTAGGAGATACATGTTACGTTCCACTAGTATAGATACTAAGTAACTCTGTATATTAAAGCTTGGACAGATAGGAAGAAAATCATCTATACTGTTTTTGCCTCTGTTAGGATGTGAACCTGAGACTTCATGGTTCTCAACGCACTTTATTGACCCCTTGGATACACCCTTATATATTTGAAAGAATCATTGATTAACTCAATTGCTTCTCCCTCCATTTCAAAATAAGTTCATTTTGTTTCAAAATAAGTGGTGTTTTACATAATTAAGAAGACATTAATGATGTTCTTCGAATTTTTCCCTTATTTAAATAAAGAAAGTTTTACATAACCAAGAAACTACTAAAGAGTTACATCTTTTTCAAGGTATTTATGAAGGGTAAGTTAGTAAAAGTACACCAGATTTCTAGTAGGAATGAGTACTTACCTTAAGTTGGTGCGCCGGCGCCCAAGGCCCAAGCTAAAAACACCACTTATTTTGAAATGGAAAGAGTAACTCAGAAGTCTCGACGAATAAACTGCAGTCCTGCATATATAATATATATGTTATTATGTAGAAAATGGATCAAAAGGGAAGTTGGGAAAGCCAGCAATTTTGGAATGGGCATCCTCCAAGACTTGGATATCAGTGGAAGAAGCAGCATTCAATATTACATTTGACTGGGATGAGTCATTAGGAGTTCCTGGTGCTTTCATTGTAAAGAACAATCATCACAGCCAGTTTTACCTGAAGACTCTCACTTTACATGATGTTCCTGGAGATGGTGAAGTTCATTTTGTCTGCAATTCGTGGGTGTATCCTCCACATCGTTACAACTATGATCGAGTGTTTTTCAGCAACAAGGTATCGATATTCTTAACCAAGCTAACATGTAAAGGGCATAAATTCAAATTTCTGAACTTTTGTTGTTATTAGACATACCTGCCATGCAACACACCAGAACCCCTTGTGGCATACAGAAATGAGGAGCTCGTTAATCTTCGAGGTACAGGTTCAGGTATGCTCAAGGAATGGGACAGAGTTTATGACTATGCTGTCTACAATGATTTAGGATATGATCGACCTGTGCTTGGTCGATCTAAGGATTATCCATACCCTCGTAGAGGCAGAACAAGTCGTCCACCGACTAAAAGAGGTAAGGTCACAAACACATAATGTCAATCATATTTATAGATGGCATAGAACTACCAAAAGTATAAGGTGAATAGAGTTAAGTTTGTTGTTGCAGATTCTAGCTTAGAGAAACGGTTGCCACGTTTGAGTTTGAACATTTATGTTCCGCGAGATGAACTTTTCAACCATGTGAAGTTTAATGATTTCCTTACATATAGTGCCACATCAATAATTCGGGTTGTAATCCCACAGACCGCGTCTGTGTTAGCTAGACCTTTCAACGAGTTCAAAAGCTTCGAACGTGTACTAGAATTCTATAAAGATAGTGATGAGGAAAGGTCCAGGGAATGTCTGCCATGGAAAATACTCAAAGGGCAATTTCATAAATATCCAATTCCTCATGTAATTGAAGGTACCTATGTCTTCCCTCTCTATGTCTCCACAACTATGTTTAGCTTCTGAGTACTTGCTAAGGTGAAAAGATAGGTACTAATTGTGAACCTTTTTGAGAAAACTACAGAAGATAACTCAGCATGGAGGTCAGATGAAGAGTTTGGACGTGAAATGCTGGCTGGCGTTAACCCTGTGATTATCCAGCGTCTACAGGTAAATATCATACACAAATCTTTATTTTTTGGCATCACACATAAACAGACGCACAAATGTGGCCTCAGTTGACAAGTAAATACTCCAACTTTGAGTATGCACATTCAGAAACCTCAACTCATCTCAATTGTGTCGGTTGAATACTACAACTTACAAAATGATCATCTAGACACCTCTAAAATTTATGTGTCATGTCAATATCGGGTGTCCATGAGACACAGTAGAGATGAGTAGGAGTGCTTACTTGCCAGATGAAGACAAGTTTGAGTGTCTGTTTATGTATTGTAATTCTTTCACTCTGAATGATAAGTACTAAAAGACTAAATTCTTATCAGGAATTTCCACCCACAAGCAAGCTAAATCCTGAAGTATATGGAAACCACACCAGTAAAATAACAAGGGATCAGATTGAGAAATACATGGATGGACTAACTGTGGATGATGTAATACTCTTTTTTATCTTTCTCTAGTGATTATCGTATATAAAGGAAGAGAAAACGAAAGCATTCTTTGTATCGGAACACTTATCATCTGTCTCTAGTATATTAGATGTTATATATTTACGCGTTTATCTTTTGTGGACACAGGCAATAAAGAATGACAGGCTATTCATCTTAAATTATCATGACCTACTTATGCCTTATATTACTCGGATTAACTCAACAACCACAAAGATCTATGCTAGTCGGACCATCCTTTTACTCCAAGACGATGGAACATTGAAGCCACTTGCGATTGAACTGAGCTTACCACATCCACAAGGAGATAAACATGGTTCCACCAGTCAAGTATTTAGCCCAAGTAATGATGAGAGTGTCGAAGGCTATGTCTGGCATCTGGCCAAAGCTTATGTTGCTGTAAATGACTCTGGATATCATCAGCTCATCAGTCACTGGTGCGCGACTTAAAATTGTTGAATTTAGATGCATGTTACCTCTTGAAGTGACTACTAATTTTGCTACTTTTTGCTTCCAGGCTGAACACACATGCAGTGATAGAGCCATTCATTATAGCAGCAAACAGACAATTGAGTGTGGTTCATCCAATCTATAAGCTTCTACAACCCCACTTCCGTGATACATTGTACGTCAATGGTTTGGCTAGGCAGATCCTCATTAATGCAGGTGGAATACTTGAATCGACCGTATTCCCATCCAAGTATGCCATGGAAATGTCTTCTGTCATCTATAAGAATTGGGTGTTCACTGAACAGGCACTCCCTGCAGATCTACTTAAAAGGTTGGCCAGTACATAGTCGTTACAACGACTTAAAACTCAATGTCATATCCATCTTGTTCAAGAAACACTGATTGTTTCTGTTTTCAATTTCAGAGGAGTTGCAGTGCCAGACTCAAGCCAGCCTAATGGCCTTAGACTCCTGATAAAGGATTATCCTTTCGCGGTTGATGGACTTGAGATTTGGTCAGCAATTGAAGCCTGGGTTGACGAATACTGTTCCTTCTATTACTCAACTGATGACATGATCCGTGACGACACTGAACTCCAGTCCTGGTGGATGGAAGTTCGCAATGAAGGTCACGGTGACTTGAAAGATGAATCATGGTGGCCTCAAATGCAGACACGAGCTGAACTCATCGAAACGTGTACAATTATCATATGGGTGGCTTCTGCTCTTCATGCAGCTGTCAACTTTGGGCAATATCCTTATGCTGGTTACCTCCCAAATCGTCCAACAGTAAGTCGAAGATTCATGCCTGAGCGAGGCACCCCTGAGTATGCTGAGCTCGAGTCAAACCATGAACGCGCCTACCTAAAGACAATCACAGCTCAGTTACAAACTCTTATGGGCATCTCATTGATAGAGATGTTATCTATGCATTCTGCAGATGAGATTTATCTCGGGCAACGAGACACTCCTGAATGGACTTGTGATCGACAACCACGACAAGCATTGCAGAGATTCAGTGACAAGTTGGTTGAAATCGAAAACAGAATAATGAATAGGAACAATGACAATACATTGAAGAACAGAAATGGACCTGTAAAATTGCCTTATACATTACTATATCCAAATGCCACAGGTGACAAGAGTGCAACAGGACTTACTGGCAAGGGAATTCCCAATAGTGTCTCAATATGAAAGTTACATGACATTACAATGGTTTGTTGTATATGAAATCACACAACTTCAACGCTATCGGTACTTTTTTCGTTTCAATTTGTTTGTCTTGCTTACTATTTGGACAGTCACATGACATTTTTCTTTGACAATAATTTATTTGAATACTTTTTGATTTATTAACTACTATGACTTATAGTACTTTTTGTGCAGTTTCTTATATACCACTTATTTTATCATATTCTCTAAAATTTCCTACCATTTGAAAAGAATTACAAAAATACCTATTTTCCTCACTCTCTCTCCTATTCTCGGATACATCACTCATATGCGATGTATCGGGACACTTGTATATTTTTACTTTATATTTTGACACCTCCTTACTGAAAATCCTAGGTAATGGTTTTCAGTATAAAACCCCGAGATCTTGCAAAAACAGGTACAAATCCCTATACATAATGTTTAAAATGACATGTTGTTTTTAGTAAATTTATCAAACGATTAGGGGAAATTGCAGAAATACTAAATGATACTATAATAATGTATGACATACTGTTCTGGTATCATTCAAAAAATAATCAGTAAAATTGAACAAATTACTGAATGATACCACAATAGTATATGGCATTTAGTGAGTAAGTTTTTACCAAGGAATTTAATTTTTTCTTAAGTGTTAAGGTCACTAGATGTAGCACCTTGAGTTCCAAAAAGAATTAAAGAGAATTCATATTCAAGTCATTCCTAGGTTCCTTTAAGTTTTGGGTCAACTTCAAACGACCATAATCTTCAATACAGAATGATTTAGGAGACCCACAAGATATCAAATGATAGATCTGTGAGTCCTCTTTCCAACGCCATTGAGTTTGCTAATTTTCGAGTTTGTATGAGGGAGATATGCTCTTTTGAAGTCAGGTTGTCCATTTAAGGAAAGTTACCCGAAAATAGGAGGGGTATTTTAGTCTTTTCCTTACCCCACTTGTTACAAGAAGAGAGGACCATATATATACATGTATATATTTGGTCACCAAGTATAATACATGGATATCTATTTGTCGTGTAAGTACTTGGTCACCAAGTATATTATATGGATGATTAGATTACAACACATTGTATGTTGTGTGTATATCCATCTGTATAATGTGTGTACATATATTTTACCACAAATTATATTTATGTGGACATCCATTTTACAACATGGATCTATTTTTTGAAAAAGAATTATGCAAGAACCAAAACCACCAATGTGAAAGCCCAATAATCTTGTAAAGGTTCAATCCATGGAGAGGTTCAAAAGGATCAAAATTACTATATATCATAGACGTATATATATATATATATACACATTATTAATACATTAAAGTATATAATAAATATATATTGTAGACCGATTTTTTTCAATCTTAACCAATTTAAATCTTATCTAAACAATCTCAAAATTTAAATAAGAGTTTATCTCAATGTTTTGAGTCTTCAAATACATTATTCACTTGAAATGACTTACATTTGTAGTACATCAATTTTTAAAGTCGAACTTTGAACATGAGAAAAAGCAGACGGGGGACGAAAAGGAAAACAATGAAAAATAAGGAAGATAAGAAGATGAGAATTGGACAACATAGAACAACAAATCAAGAACTAAAAACCTATAACATGAGAATATTGAATTATCCAAGTTTAAATCTACATAAAATTTAGATATATTATTATATATATATTTGTTGAAATATTTTTATCATAATTAATTATTTATCAAATTCATCCTATCAAAATGAAAATATTTAAATTCTCTTGCAATTCCACAAGACAATAATCAACAATAAAAAAAACTAAAAGATGGAATTATCATAAATATTACTCCTCTTCATTTAAATAAAATGTAAATCAATACATTTAGAGTAATACAATATATAGCATAAATATTACTTTTAATTTCTTTTCATTACTTTTGCTTGGTAAAAATCAACCAACATAAGATTAAATGCCTTTTTTGATGCAATTTTCTGTTGAGCATTCTTCCAAGCAGCTCTCCATTAGCTTTGAATCTACATAAAATTCATCAAAATATATGTCACAAATTAAGTAATAAATTAACATAAATAATTATTAAGAAAAAAAAAGTTACTGAAATAAATCATAGATATGAAGAAAATTATGTTGGAAACATCATCCCCAGAATGAGTCATGCAATATGCGATTCGACTTTAATAGCGGCTTCAGGGCATTGAACATCGAGTGAAGAATCAAAAAACAAAACAAACTATACCTTTTTTAAATTTGGAGCAACGTTCAGTTGAACAAGCAAGATTACAGTTTAATTTTTCAAGAGAAATATGACATTGTTGGATACACTTCTCATAGCAACCAGGTGTTTTACTTAAGGCACATGAAAGTCTACATTTTGCTCTGCAAGATAATTTAATTTCATTAATAGCTTCAACATTTGTTGAAACAATCACAATGAGAAAAATTGTCAATAAAACTTTTGTGAAGCTCATGATTAATAATATTATTTATGCACTTTTTCTTCTTAATAGAATATGTTTTTCTTTTGTATCTTTAAGTGTTTGATTAGAGCAAAGTATTGTTATTATTTATAGCAAGAGTTTTCACTAGAATTTTATAACAGATTAGACTATAATTTGGTGAAAATAAATTTGGTTATACATTTTATAATTTAAGTCATTTTATTTAACTATCATATTATCTAAACCTAATTGATAGCTTATACAAATTAATGTTTGATTATCTTTACTAACTTTAAAATGAAGATGCATGGTTATTTGCAATAATTGCAATTAGCTTGAAATATGTATTTCTCACTCAAAATCTAGTGCTCTTATTTTCGTATATGAAATATGTATATCACGCTCAAGATTTAGAAATTCTCTCACAATTTAATGAATAAATATTGAATAAAATTGGTACGATATATATAATTATTTTTTTTTATAAAGTCTATGTTGATTTCTGAAAATTTCATACAACTAGAATAATATTGTAATAAAATTAATACCACTTCAATAACATACAAACTTAAAATATAATTTGCATACAACTCAGCATTAGGATTTTCAAATTCATTTTTGGGGCCAGTTTAAGGTGGGGCATATACAAAAAATGCTTCGGGCACAAATTTTATATGTTTTGTAATATAGAGTATTATTAAGGACGGGATATACCAACAACATTGTAATATATTAGTATACTAGATATAGGACCCCGTGCTGGTATATATTATTTTTTATTTTAATTTATGTCATATTATGGAATTTGAGAAGTTATTGAAATTTTTATATGATTTTAAAAATATTTTAAATTTTTAGCTATTGTGATTTGTAGTACTTTTTTTTAACATAATTTTGAAAATAATATTTATTACTCTGTTTGTTCTAATTTATGTGGCACACGCAGAATTTCAAATATTAACCATTTTTTATATGTCTCTTTAATATATTAAGTTGTTAATTATTGTATTTTATAGTACATTTTAAACCTAATTTTTTAATAATATATGTTATTTGCCATGTCCCAATTTATGTGGCATTAATTGATAGATTTGTTGGAGTCGAGAGATTTATTTTGTTAATTATTGTAATTTATAGTTTTTTTTCCGTCAATTTCAAACAATATATGTTGTTAATTGATAGAATACTTTTAATGTAATTTTTTAAAAAAAATATGTGTGACTCTCCATGTCCCAATTTATGTGGCACATGTAAAGTTTTGACAATTAACCAAAATTTTAATACATTTAAAAAAATATTTTTAAGTCGTTAAATTTTAAGTAATTTAAATTGTTGTATTATTTATTACAATTTATAATACCTTTAAAGTAGTTGAAATATTGTACTATTTATTATGATTTATAACAGTTTTTTTTTTAAATTTATGTCATATTATGGAATTTGAGAAGTTATTGAAATTTTTATATGATTTTAAAAATATTTTAAATTGGTAGCTATTGTGATTTGTAGTACTTTTTTTTAACATAATTTTAAAAATAATATTTATTACTCTATTTGTTCTAATTTATGTGGCAGAAGCAGAATTTCAAATATTAACCTTTTTTTATATGTCTCTTTAATATATTAAGTTGTTAATTATTGTATTTTAGTACATTTTGAACCTAATTTTTTAATAATATATGTTATTTGCCATGTCCCAATTTATATGGCATTAATTGATAGATTTGTTGGAGTCGAGAGATTTATTTTGTTAATTATTGTAATTTATAATTTGTTTTTCGTCAATTTCGTGGACTATTTTTTTTATTAATTATTGTAATTTATTGTTTCTTTTTCGTCAATTTCAAACAATATATGTTTATCATATAATCCATTTTATGTGGTACCAATATAATTTAGAGAGTCAATTAAATTTTTTATATAAGTTTTAAATAATTAAGCTGTTAATTATTGTAATGTATAGTATTACTTATATTATTTTTAAATATATTTAAATATTATATGTTAGGTTTTTTATCCTAATTTATATGGCATTGATAGAATTGAAAGTGTCAAATAATTGTTAATTATTGTAATAGATAATATGGAGTATTTAAGTCATTTATGGTATAGTAATTAATATATAATATGTAGTATTTAAGTGTTATATTATGGGATTTGAGAAGTTATTGAAATTTTTATATGATTTTAAAAATATTTTAAATTTTTAGCTATTGTGATTTGTAGTACTTATTTTTTTACATAATTTTGAAAATAATATTTATTACTCTCTTTGTTCTAATTTATGTGGCACATGCAGAATTTCAAATATTAACCATTTTTTATATGTCTCTTTAATATATTAAGTTGTTAATTATTGTATTTTATAGTACATTTTGAACCTAATTTTTTAATAATATATGTTATTTGCCATGTCCCAATTTATGTGGCATTAATTGATATATTTGTTGGAGTCGAGAGATTTATTTTGTTAATTATTGTAATTTATAGTTTCTTTTTTGTCAATTTCAAACAATATATGTTGTTAATTGATAGAATACTTTTAATGTAATTTAAAAAAAAAAATATG